AATTGTAGACGACGGAAAACCAAGGAAGTGTGTTCGAAATTCTGAAGCACAAATGCCACTGGGAACTGTCAGCCGTCATTTGAAGTTGGTTTCGTGCTTCAGGTCCCTCGAGCTTACGAAATTTTAGTCCCTATCATGGTGCGAAAGACACGCTGTTTCGAAATAATCCACGAGTGGTTTGCATTTTTTCTGATTTTCAAAAATATCTACTCGGAGCTGACGACTCTGCGGTCTTCGAAGCATTCTTATACTGCAGACCCCATCACCTCCGGCGGTTATCCTGACGAGAGGTACAAACTTCGGCACTCATTTACCCCCAAAATCCACACCGGCGGTGTAATTCTCGAGTCCGCTTTCAACGGGGAAGGAGACGCCATAAAAACTCTGAGTCTTTATGTTCCTGCAAATGCAGGGTCCCCTCATTATGCAGGGCTAGGAGGGGGCTGGACGGGACGTAGCCTCCTCGGCATTTACTTATGCTTCCCGAATACTCCAAAGGCAATATTCCGCGTAAACGCGTGAACTTTATCTCAAACATAAGCATCTTTACGCTACAATGAATGCTATCTCCAGCACATAACTGTTGTCTAAGTCTACCTGAATGGCCAATGACTTTGTTTAAATGCATCAGATGGGGGGCACTTATCTGCTAAGCGTGTTGCATGATAAGCGTCGTGAGTTCTACAATTTTTTACACTTCTTAAGCAGTGTTTGCTACAGTTGTACGGAGTAAGTGGCCAAGGTCAACGCACGCAGCACAACTTTGAGAAGGTCAATGAAGTGTAGATTTTTATTCCATTTCTCAACCTCTTGCATAGTTTTGCAGTTGGAGTCTGGTAAAATTTCTTATTTTTTAGCCATAAGTCACCTACGATTGCCGTCGTGTTTTGTCGATTTATGATAGGGCGAAAATATACCACCATAAGTTTCAACCAATATGATCTCACTTCTTTTACGTTCTGCCCGTATATATAAGAGGTCTTCCCCCTAAAAGTTTTAAAAACTATAGTTTTAACGATAAATCTCCACTGACAGTTCTTAACTGTCGATTTGTCAACTAGTTAGAGAATTATGACGCCATCTACTTCACCCTACATAGCCTCATTCCTAAATACAAATTTTATCCACAGTTTTGTTTTGTCACCTATAAAATTGTCAGTCGGCTGTTTTTTTTCACAACATTTTATTACTGTTTGAAAATTGCATAAGTAACAATTTTGCTGGTCGACCTACCAATACTTGTAGCTTCTCACACTATTTTTTCATCGGTAGCCCCATAATTAAATCCTAAAATTCTCGTAGATATCGTCCCTATACATCAGTACTTAACTCTTTTTTGCTTTCTCCAGCATGAAACCCCGGGAAGCCCTTCGCCTGAATTCGAAAGAAACGAAACTCCAAGCTCCTCATTTGAAAATAGGCATGGAGCGCTCAAAAATTTTGACAATTTTATTTCTATTTATGGATACTTTTTTCTTTTCTTAATGCCCTGCTTGAAGAATAATTGTTAACACTTGTTTCTCAGCAATATGAGAAGCTAGTGAGACCGAAGACAGGAACAAGCGAAGTTTGAACTTTATTTCGAAAAATGAGCTTTAAAGTAGATTGCCCCTCGATGTCACTGTCTATTTCATTTACTCCTGTGCCCTCAGCCGTAAGGTCGTTGAAGCTAAAGGACTTTCATTTAGGAGAAAAATTTCACCCATTCTGATCAACTTATTCTCACCGATAGAAGTCGACTTCGTTTTCTTCCGTTTGGAGCGCTCAGCTCAGTATTTTAGAGGAAGTATGCTCCTTATTAATCGGGAAAGAACATCAATAAAACGCAGAGTTTTCCCCTCATTAGCAAACATAAAGCCACCCCAGGATTCTGCTTATCTGCAATTTGCTCCTGAGGCAGGTCCTCCATCTGGCGTCCGCTAACTTTCCCCCTTATCTGCGGCGGCCTTAGTTCCATCCAGCTTCTCACTTGAGCATATTATCAGTTGAAACCTGCCACTTCGAAACAAATCCAAGATGTAATAATTGCTTAAATTCTGCTCCCAAGTTTACCAGACCGCCTGATCTTAAGCGTAAAAATGGACTGACCCTAAATTCACAGTCAACCTCCATGGCACAAAATGATGACCTAGTTAATAAAACTGGGTAGAAGCCGTCCTGTTCCCGCGTCAAGCCACTTGAGTCTGACACAACGGTAAAACCAAATAATCCTGAAAATGGCCCATGGAGATCCCTGCCTGTTCCTATCCTGAATTCCCGATTTGAAGAAGGCAACACGGTAGGAAAACCTGCTAATACGCCAGCCTCTGAAGTGCAAGTACGTAATGTCGCTAATAATTCCCCGAACTAAACAGCTAGCCTGACACACCAAATAATAAAGCCTAGTCTTAAGGAAAACTGTTTCTCAAAACCAATTAATTAATTTTCTGACAATAATCACCCCTTGTATTATGTTCAACATTCTCAAAATCCTATTTTTATGCCTCCTATTTTCTCGACCCCACGAACTAGCAGTCCTCTTCGTTGGTCCTGTCCAAATATATTTCTATGTAATACTGCCTCCTCAGTTAGAGGTGACATTTCCACAAATTTCAGATCACATCTCCCTTTTTCCCACTCCTACTTCCTTCCTACAGCTTGATTTTCCACCACCAACTCTTCCTTTTTATAACTACTAATAAGCGAAACCAACATCTCAGGAATACGCTCATTGTAGTTTTTTTTTATCAACGCGGGATTAACCGTCTGAAAGATGGCACAACTAGGAGCTGTAGCATTCGAGTTTGACCCAGATGTTCTTTGCATTACAGAATTTTGGACCCATTCTCTAATTTCCGACTCGGCGCTCACTATAGATAGTTTCGGTTTATACCGACAAGGTATCATTGAAAAACGTGGCGGTGGTTGTCTTCTTTACATCAGAGCCTCACTTGCATATTCCCCTTATGACCTGTACATTTTTGCCTTACGTGAAATTCTCTGTTTCGTTTCGGTAATCCTTCCACAAAATAGGAAAGCTCTAATTGGATGTGTATATAATTCCCCTTGTTACTACGGAAATGAAGGCCACCTCTGTGAATTCTCTGAAAAAACCACAGATACTTCATTCGACGTCAAGATCATCGTAAGCGATTTTAATTTGCCAGAAATTGACTGGCACACACATACTTCCTCTCTTAAATTCCAGAAGATTCTGGATACCATTCACTTTTCAAACTTACTTGAACTAGTCCGCTCTTCGACCAGAGACGACGGTGTAATAGACTTAATTTTTACTAATGGCATTCTCCCTGTATCTATGAATTTCGATCGTGACTTTTTCACGAGTGACTATGCATAAACTTATTATGCCTTCCAGTTTCGACTTCTGCAAAGCTAGCTGTAGAACGTAGCTTTTTGGTGTTTTAATGTTGACCAGGCATTAGTAAATAACTTTACAATAATAATACACAACAAGAATTACACAATATTTTCAAAAACAATAATCTAAATGTATGCTACGATTTGTTGCAGTGCGTAACAGAAGATCTCTTCGGACTAATCCCGCTGAGGACATTGAAATCGAGTGCCACTTTTTCCATTATCCCGTATTTTAATAAAAACAGAATTAAAAAGCCATGGAAGAGGATAAAATATCCTTCCGTAAGCTCGTTATTTGTTAACCTAATAATCGCTGAAATATTTAAATTAGGTAAGAGAACGAGGTTCGCGTGGGATAGTCGCAGTCTTCAGCTATTACTGGTGCGAACCCTTCTAGATCTGTTTCACAGGTCTTCTGTCAAAAATAATCAATTAAGTCCAATCAAGTCGGTTCGCCTTTGCATATTTGCGACAATACTTTTATTACTAAGGAGTCAGAAGAATCAGAACTGTTAAACTCATTCTTCGCCGCCCATTTTACCATTGGAACCGAGCCCATCCATGCGATTCCTCCGTTGTCTGGTGCTTCCTTCATAACCATCTACATTGCTCCTTCAAATATTTGAAAACTGATAAGCCAGTTTGCTAAATCGCACTCAGTAGGAACTGACGCATCCCGAAATCTCTTGTAAAACAGCTGAGAAATTTTTCTCCTCTGCTTGACAGACTCTTTTTAGTCTTTCTCGTGAATGATTTCCTTCCTGACTACTGGAAAACTTTTAGTCTTATTCCAGTGTTAGATCTGGCTGTCGTTCTGATGTTAAAAACTATAGGGGTGTTCGTCAAACACCTTTTCTTGCCAAAGCCTTTTTTAAAAATTGTTGCCATGAAAATTACTGACTTTTGTGTAGCCAGTCAATTTACAAGCTCTCGCCATCATGGCTTTTTACCCGATCACTCTTACAAAACGTGTCATATGTCATTTTCCAACCTACTCCTATTCGTAATTATCTGTGGTAGTTATTTATTTTGGTCTTAGTAAAGACTTTGATAAAGTGCCATATACAAATCTCTAAGTTGAATTAAAAGCTCTCGGAATTCGCGGTCCCCTTATTGACTTTATAATATTTTTAGCGGAATCTCCATTTTCCGACGAGAGCTCTGTTGTAAGTAATGTCCTAAGTAATGTCTGTCAAAATGTCGTTATATGTGTCCTAGATCGGATAGAATACCCCAGCCAGTGGCCTCACAAGGCCCATCTGTGGCTGATGTGCCACCATCGAGTGCTTAGGTTTAAGATGCCCCAATAATCTGAGACTTTATCGAATGTTTGCACCTTCCATTCTGGTTATTGCTGCCCATTCTTTGGTCTTATGAAGGAGTCTAGTCGTCCAGAAATTGAAAATGTCCAAAGACATTTTACCAGTATGTTCTCAAGCACGGCACACTCAAATATTGCCAATAGAAGCGAAGAGCCGAGTCCCAGGAAGTAGTCTTGAAGAAGGAGACACGATCGCCGGGACAAGAGCTTTATTAGCCTGACGTTTCGGATTCCAAATCGAATCCATCATCAGAGACAAAAGAGCAGAAACGGGTGGTTGTTGCACAAGGGGCTGCGGTATTTATAGGATGCAGCAGCCATGGATCAGGTGTGGACATTCCAAGAACATCTCAACGCCGTCTTCCCGGACATTCAATTTACGATGGAGGAGGAAGAGAACAACCAACTGGCCTTCCTGGATGTCCTCGTATGCCGCAAGGATAGTGGTGGACTAAAGACCAAAGTGTTCAGGAAAGCGACAAATACGATGCAAGTACTGAACTTCAACAGTAACCAGCCAATCAGCCACAAACGCAGTTGTGTAAGGACGCTCTATCGGCGTGTCGAAACGCACTGCAGTGAGCCCGAAGACAAAATTGCTGAACTACAATACCTCGGACGGGTCTTCAAAGCCAATGGCTACCCGCGCAACTTCGTCGACCGGTGCATACGCAAAAGGGACGAAAGGCCTAACCGCACGGACACCAAGTCTTGGCGGGCACTTCCGTATGTCAAGAACGTTTCGGAAGCTGTCGGCCGCCTTCTCGCACCACTTGGGGTTGGAGTTGCACACAGACCGGAGGCAACCATCAGGCGTCTGGTCATGAAACCGAAAGACCCACTGTCACGGCTAGAAACGTCTGGAGTCGTTTATCGGATCTGGTGCAGTTGCGGACAAAGCAACTGCGTCGGAGAAACCGGAAGACAGCTCCGAACGAGAATGGCCGAACACGCGGCAGCGGTGCGCAGAAATGACGCCAGCTCTCAAGTTGCAGCTCATTCGACGAGATCCGGCCACACATTCAAATTCGATGAGGCCGAAATTCTCGCAAGAGGTGACAACCAAGTGAGCCGGGAGCTATTGGAATCATGGATTACTGGCCCCCAGTCCATCAACAAGTGCAACGATCTTCCCATTCAATACAGCGTGCTGAGACTTCGTCTAGGCGGAGTAATTGGCCACGCGGGGAGCGCACTGGTGAACACTCTTCCCAACACCCGGGTCAACGCGTCAGATGGTCGAGCAATCATCACGCCAACATCCAACGCACGTGATGAAATTGCAGCAATTATCGACTCGAATGTCGGCCATCAAGCAATGATCACACCAAGTGTGACAATCCCGGATGAAGAGGGGAGCCGTGAACGTTCATAGGTATGCAGTAGCATGGCTACTGCATCCTATAAATACCGCAGCCCCTTTTGCAACAACCACCCGTTTCTGCTCTTTTGTCTCTGATGATGGATTCGAGTAGGAATCCGAAACGTCAGGCTAATAAAGCTCTTGTCACGGCGATCGTGTCTCCTTCTTCAACACTCAAATATTCCCTACTTAGATAGATGCCAGATAAGTAACCCAAAATTCCTATGGGTTCGGAGGCTAGAAGCAGGTTTCTGTCTCCTCTTTTACACTAATGATAGTTCAAATCTTCGTCGAATTTTGGCCCTTACCCCTGTTATTTGCCCATACAGTCTTCGTACTTCTTCCTTGAATGTGCCTCCTTCCTTTTCGGCTACATCAAAGCGCTCTCTTTTCTCCGTCTCCAGGTACGATTTCCTTTGGAATAGCCTTTCAATAGATACAAAATCATTGTTAATGTACATAATTTTAAGAGAATGCAACGCCATTATCTGAATACTGAGTCGACTAAGCTGCCCGGACAAATTTCTCTAAGATACTGAGAAAGGGTCATCGGAAATTTAGGATGCCGCCACCAAGTTGCCGCATCCACTCACAAGTCAGTGGCCTGCAAACCGACTCGCGCGCAGCTGGAATTTTGAGGTGCATGAAGGAGGTTTTTCATTCGAATCTCTTCGCTGAAAACAACTGCCCTTCATCAAAAAGTGGATTATAAAACGCGTGCCTGACTACGATCCTCCCGCTAGCTCCATCGATACCCTCATCGTTCGATCAGAACAAACTTAAGCAAAAACGGTCTTTCTGTCGGAAATCTCAGCTTGTCTACAAGGCCTATCCATCCAATATACTGTCTCCAACCGCTTGCCAAAACTTGGAGCGATATCTACAAAAAGGCTGAGTCGATATGTCTACACTGCTTGCTGCGCTGTTTAAATTCAGACAGCTGCCACTTTACCAAACACAGGCTTACCTGAAAAAAAAACATTTCCTGGAAATTTTTGGATAACGCAGCATAAGCATAGACCTTGTCTACTGTTGTGCCCTAGGAAAAGGCTTTTTATCCCTGCAGATTCTTCCGTTTTTCCTAAGCCCACTGCATAACGGAGATGTGCGCTGATTTCCAAAATACTGTCTCCAATGACGGAGTCCATTCACCGACCAACAACATTTTTGTCAAGCACGCTAACCCCCCGGCCACCGCAGCACGTCGACCAGCAATGTCGCAAAGTTTACTTGATAATATATGCGTACCGCATATGGATCCATTCTGCAGCGGATGCCAGATGTTGGCTGAAGAAAATCAACCGCCTTCAGGAAGAAATTGAAAAGGTGAAAACTCTTCTACAATGTACGCTAGACACAGTTGACACTACGAATATACTTGTTGGAACAATAACTAGAAGTGGAGCCAAAGGACGTCGCACAAAAACACGCTATCAACACCATCCGCAGCTGTCACGGCAGCCCCAGCACAAACAGTTAAAATACAAGACGACAACAACCAGCGAAGAAACGAAAAAACAGGAGGAAAAAAGAAATCTTCCAGTAAAAAGATCGAAGGAAACGGACAGGCGATTCCGATGAATGCCTCCGAAGAGCCGGAACTAGGGACGTCAGCGACAGTATCGCCCAGCACGAAAAATGGCATGGATCCGAAAGCCCTCAGCCTATGCATCCTGCTCACTTAAACTACATGCAAATTTTTTGCAATTTAACTATTTTGCCTTACATCTGTACCGTCTAAAGGGGGTTTTCGGGGCTTCATTCGTTTACTCCAAATATACCGACTGAAAGCCTAGTGGTATCTGTCGAAACAGACTCGGTGTTTAAGTTCCAGTTACACCTATTCCATATCGCTTTTGCCGTCCATGGAAATAATTATGGAGCTATTATCTATGGATACCACCGAAGCACTATGTATGGACGAATTAATAATAATAATAATAATTTTACTTAATGCCAGTTTACAGGCATTTTCAGGGAAACGTTAAACACAAATCCGGCCAGCAGTAAAAAAACTCCTGTAGAAAAGGAATAAAATTAAGTAGATCATGAGGGCATACTATGTTGCCGTTGAGGGACCTGAGCCCTCAGTCCCCTCAACATCGTCCGTTGTGTCCACTGTGGGGGATGTATTTCCGTGTACAAAGCTTTCCGCCTGGAAAACGCAAATACATCGTGTGTGCTGTCATCCAAATGGGCACTTAAAATAGTTTTTGAAAATTAAGTTCAGGTTACACACCTCCCACTGAGAGAACGGTCCTCCGTAATTCATGTAGGAGGTGTCCTTTTCAACTGGAGACTAGGGTCGACGAGCACACATCAGAATTCATCGCCTTGACAGAACCACAACTTTCGAAGCTATGGGCTAGCATAAGGCATCTGTCAAAGGTTATCGCCAGTTTAAAAGAGACGGGAAAAACTGGGGAAGAGGGATCGCTGCCTATGTAGGCTGCAATTTAACGCCGGTCTCTGGACAACGCCCTATCAATGCGAAAGCGGAATTTCCGCCTTTAACTTTGATCACTTAGTACGCCCTGCTGTCCGCATTTGTACCTGCACACCGTTTCTTAAATCGGATGTCGATCGCAATGATATTCTCTAAACGGAACTGACTAAGACCTCGTGGGACAGGGATGACCTCATTGTTAGGGACTTTATCGCTCCTAATCTCAACTGGCAAGCTTGGAATGGTTTGGGTCCGCTGGATTCATCATTTGCCCGAAATGGCAAGGGGAAAACAACTTTTGCAGAACGTTACTCTCAAAGCATGTTTGAGGAAAGAACAACGTTCAAATCGCGTGGATTTGATGTTCTCTCGAGGTGAGAAACGTGCGCTGGGCTTGCAGTACGTCCTGGTGCTAGTGATCATACTGTAATATTCTTCGAGTATCCCATGTCCTCCCTGTCCGATTCACATAAGCAACTAGGAAAAAGGTATGGAAGGGATATTTTTCCAGCATGCGAACGTGAATCTCAGGAATACCATGGTCACTCACACTACAGGACACGGTTAACGAATAGTGGAGCACGTTTAGTTCGTTTGCTAAAAGAATCATTGACGTAAATGGTCCCCCAGATGAAAGAAAATAAGCAGCCGTTAGTTTTAGATAGACTGGCAACTTCAAGTCTACACTAAGATGAGGAATAAGATATGGAAGCATTTTCGAATAACGGGCAATCCCGAACATCTGCAGGAATACAAACGACAGCGGGATTTGTGCAAATGTGAGGATAATGGACTTCCGTGGATCTTGGAGCTAACCGTATTTTAAAAATCTTTGGATCACCCCGAGACCCTATTCGGTTGTATATATAATGGCAAAATAAATCATGTCCGATTCTGGAGCTTAAGTCCTACAACAGAGTAATGGAGACGGATGCCCAGACGAAGACATCAGTCCTCTCTAACTTCTTTTAGTCAGTATTCATTCATAAAACGAAGCCTTCCTCTATCCCCCCCCCACCGGAACGACCGTAAAATGCAGCATCGATTACATTAGAAAGAAATCTCTACTTCTCGCCTACATCGATAAGGACTGGATAACACTGGCTAAAGCCTCTCGAAGCACCTGGTTAAGACAGAAGTCACCAGTTGCCCTTCGAGAATTAGCCGGCGTCTGCGACATTTCAAAAGTCCACTGAAGAAGGTGAACAGTCAGGGGAATGTAAAACTGCCTTCATTTGTCCAATCTACGAAGGAGTGTCCAGGCTAGAGTCTGAAACCTGCACTTTGTTTAAGGCCACAAAACGGCTTATTAAGAGCGTAGAAATATTTGGAAAGGTGACTTTAACGCAATGAGACGCACTCTTTTTGAGGAAACCTGGTTGGTCAACGCAGCAGATTCAGACAAATTCTGGCAGTACTTTCGCGAGATTATCGAGCGTCTAATTGATTCCCATTGTCCAATAAAAATGGCAAGACCATGTTCGCGACCGCCGTGGGTCAATCAGACGACAAAAAAGACCATGAAGAAGAAACAGAGACTGTGGAAAAAGTATTTTCAACTTCGAGATCCAAGGTCACTCGCCGAATATAAGGATCAGCGCAATAAATGCCGCAAACAAATATGGGGTGCTGGAACTTCTTTCGAGCGCTGACTGATAGCAGAATCCATTACATGTCCTAAGAAGTTTTACGGGTACATCCGCAGTAGGAGGAAACACAGCGACGAAATTGCGTGTCTAAAGGATAGCCTCGGAAACTTAGTAGTTGAAGGGCCACAGAAAGTGCGATTACTGTCTCAGTTTTTTCAATCGGTTTTTACGGAGGAGTCCCCAGAAGACAATCAGCAGTTTGAAATGGACCGTGACAGCCGGGAGCTTCAAATGTGCCACGATACTGCCGTCATTGAAACCGTCGCCTTTTCCGTCGAAGAAGTCAGACGCGTCCTCAGTCAAATAAAACCTGATAAGTCTCCTGGACCCGACGGAATTCCCAGGCTGAAACTTAAGGAGCTATCAACGGAGCTGTCAAAGCCTCTTTCGACTCTGTTTGAGCTACCAGTGAGAACAGGAAGGCTACCCTCACAGTGGAAGACAGCTAACCTCGTTCCATTGCATAAGGGAGGTAGCAGGATGACAGCAAGCAGCTTTAGGCTTATTAGCTTAACTTGCCTCCCTTGCAAAACGATGGAAGCTATAGTAAAGAGCGCTATACAGCAATTTTGTGAAGAAAATAACATCTTGCAGGATTTTCAACATGGTTTCCGGAGAGGACGTTCCTGCCTCTCAAATCTGCTAGCTTGTCTGGACCAGAGCTCTAGAAGATGGTTTTGAGGTCGATGTCGTATACATCGATTTCCGTAAAGCTTTTGACACTGTCCCGCACCAACGGCTTCTTCACAAATTGAGCGCCATTGGCATCCGGGGAGATCTTCTGAACTGGATTAGGGCGTTTCTGGTTGGTCGGAAACAACGTGTCTGTATCGGGGATGATATGTCAGACTGGGTGAACGTGACCAGTGGTGTGCCGCAAGGCTCAGTTCTGGGACCATTGCTCTTCTACGTTAACG